TGATTTCAGAGGACAGATGGCAAAATATGCCTCCTGCTTCTTGGCAGAGAAATGGTAGACTATAGGTACAGAATGACACATACATTTATAGACATGACCAATGTGTTGATTTGTTTTGGGAGACTACTTTTTTGTTATAAGCAAGCATTCTATAGGGAGGGAGAAGTCATTGGAAAGTGACAGTATTATAAAAAAAGTGAATTAATAAAACATGTAAGCGGATGAGGAGAATGGAAAAATTGGCATACTTTTATCCTTCCACTTTCAAATTGACCATCTGCCACCGTCATTTAGCAACCTCTCTTTAAGCTTCCTTTATTACGCAGGCCAATTCCTCATCAAAAAAAATTCCACCAGTTTCCAGGTCATTTGTTTTGCTTTCTCAAGGAGAAAGTTCTTGGATCAATTTTCTTCTTCACTACAACCATACCTGAGGATTTCAATAAATATATGTAACATATATATAAAATAATATGTATGTGTATGTGTGTATACGTATATATTTATGTATGCACACAGATAGATAGATAGATAGCTATAGATATGATCCTGCAAACATTCTGCCAGCGTGGCTGCATGTCAACGGAACATAGAATACAACAGTCTCCAAAGAATTAAAAATGAGTATAACACAGAGACGTGGAGTGGTGCATGGTGGAAAGGGCAGGAATACAGAAAGACAATTGTAAAAGATGTCACTAAGAAAATGTTTGAAAAGAAGAAGAGACAGGCTGGAGACATGGGGAGAAATGATAGGTGGAACACCATGATGTCAAGAGAAAGTGAAGGCCTCTAGCTTGCTGGGTGGATCTACTTTGGCAAATTTATGAGAGAACACAAACAAGAGTTACACAGGATGAAGAGCATAGGATAAACTGCAATCTGTATCACAAGATTCCAAATGGAGGAGACCACAGATCTTTGAATCTGCCAGCTGAAAAAGTTAATATGACCTTTGGCTGCATTAAAAAAAGGCAGTATCGGGGCAGCTAGGGGGCGAAGTGGATAGAGCTCCGGCCTTAGAGTCAGGAGGACCCGAGTTCAAATCTAGCCTCGGACACTTGACACTTACTAGCTGTGTGACCCTGGGCAAGTCACTTAACCCTGACTGCCCCACCCAAAAAAAAAAAAAAAAAGAGGTAGTATCAAGAAAGTGAAAGAGATCATTGGCACTGGTCAGACCACATCCAGAATATTATGTTCTAGATGCTATATTTTAGAAAAGCCAATCAAGTCAGTCACTTAAAACCTATGTGACTTTGGGCACATAACCTCTCGAGGCTTCTGTTTCATCATGTGTAAAATGAGAGTAAGTTAGATGACTTCAAAGGTTCTTTCCAACTCTAAATAGGAGGCAATTAAGACCATGAAATAAAAGAATAAGTTAAAGGAACCAGTGGTGGTTAGCCTGGAAGTGGGTGGGAGTGTTGGGGTGTCGGAAGGAGGGCTGTCTTCAAGTATTTGAAGGGCTATTTCTCCTTCGAAAGACGGATTAGAATTGTTCTACTTGGCCCCGAAGGGCAGAATCAGAGGCAATAACAGTGGAGGCTACAGACCGGCAGGAAACGGATGAAGGAGCTGCAAGGACAATGGAGGAGAAGCAAAGAGGTAGGAAGAGGACCAGGAGAGCATAAGGTCAAGAAAGCCAAGGGAAAAGAGAATATCAAGGAGGCAGTGGCGAATAACAATAACAAAATCTCCAGGGAGGTCAAGGAGGATGAGGACTTTGAAATTGCCATCAGATTTAGCAGTTCAGAAATCAATGATAACCTTTAAAAGAACAGTTTCAGCAGAACGATGAGGTTAGAAGCCAGATTGTAAAGCTTTGAAGAGTGGGTGGTGAGATAGTAGTGGCATTAAGTATAGAAGTTTTTGCTTTTCTGCTATAACATGAAAGCAAATTAGAAAAATGGATCTTCAGATCTGTAGTACAAAAAAATGCCACTGTATCTGTCTTCCTCCTCACTACACAACTGCAAATTCTGCAAAGTAACATTATTCTTGACATTTTTTTCAAATAAAAATAATACTGCATAGCCTGTATTATTCACAGACCCAGAAATTCCATTAATGTCAATTGAACAGTTAGTTATAATGTAGTTTTAACATGTAGTTACACAGCTGGGAGGAAATATAAATAGCATCCTTTAGTTAACATTTCAATGCTGAAGATTGTAATGGTATAGTTACATAAAATATCTACGCTGTACCAAGATAATAAAACAGTAGTTGAGGGGGCAGGGGACAGTAAATTTGCGAAACTATTTTCAATAATGAAACTTTTCCCCCATGTAGCAAGTATGACTCCCTCAAGAAACTGGTATGAGTTTTGCTCTTACAGACTGATGCTCCCTAAGGCTATTTGGTTACCTTGTAAATACGAGTTCTTGCTCTGAAGCTAGCCCAAGTCTGAATGAGCACTCTAGGGAAATCAGTAGAGATCTATCACCTTAACTAGAACTATAATGCAATGTAAACAGTCTTTTGAAAATCAATCAACTATAACATCCTGATGTAATAAAAGAGATGGTGGCTGAAGCGGCTATTACTCCCCTCTATCTCTGCTCTAGAAGCTATTTAGTCCTCAAGTTTTCAGGCAGCATAATGCAATGGAAAAAAGCATCACTGGGTAAAGGATATGAACAATTCTGAAGAGAAGAAATGCCAACTGCTAATAACTGTAAGAAAAGAGTTCCAAATCATTACTAAGAGAAAACATATTAACACAACTCTGAGCTTTCACTTTACAACCATCAAATTCGTAAAGATGATAAAATCAACAAGTATTTATTATACACCCATTATGTGTCACCCATTGTGCTAAACACTGGGGATTCAAAGCGGAAAAAAAAGGTCCCTATCTTCAAGATATAGCCAGTGTTGGAGATGCTGCTGGAAGCTAAGCAAATTAAAATACTTGGTAACCGTTCTGGAAATCAATTTGAAATTATTTGGTAAAAGTTACTATATTAATCAATACTCTTCAACTCAGATCTCATTATAAATGACAAGCTCCCCATACATACCAAACTATTTAGAATATCACTTTCTGTGGTAGTAAAAAAAGGGAAATAAAGTATGTGTCTATCACCTGGGGAATAACTGGACAAATTGTGGTATATGAATGTAATAGAATATTACTGTGATTTCATTGGTATGGAGAACTCAACAGGTGAGGAAACTCCCCCTACAAATGCTGCAACTTGTCATCCAACTTACGGCCTGGAGCTTGTTGTGGTTGTTCAGTAGTTTCAGTCTCACCAGGCTCTTTGTGACCCCATCTGAGGTTTCCTTGGCAAAGATACTGGAGTGGTTTGACACTTCCTTCTCCAGCTCTTTTTACAGATAAGGAAAATGAGGCAAACAGGGTTAAGTTATTTGCCCAGAGTCACACAGTTATTAAGTGTCTGAGGCTGGACTGGAACACAGGAAGATGAGTCTTCCTGACTCCAGGCCTGGTGCTGTCTCTATTCACTGGGCCACCTAGCTGCTCTGGGCACTAAGATACCAAAAGATTAAGTGACACAACCAGCCAATGTGTCAGAGAGCAGGCTTGACCAAGCGTTCTTGGCCTTACGGCTAGTTCTCTGTCCACGATGCCACACTGCTTCTCTATACTGCATTTCTATACTTTAAATATCACATCCTCAGCAGAGTGACAGTCAGTGAGCTAATATTTTCACATGGCAGCAAACACACACACACACACACACACACACACACACACACACAAAACCACGAAGCTAATACTGAGCAGTGGCAGAGAAATGAAAGATGGGAGGGAGGAGATTGGGCCCCTAAAAGCATCTCAGAGAGAAGACTCTGGCTGAAGCTACCAGCCATATTTCTTCAAGGGCTGAAGAAGGCTCAGAATACAATGGTGGACACTGTAACATACTCTGGTCTATTCTTTTACAGAAACATTTCCTATATCCTGATTTTCCCCTCCAACATAGTGAGACCTGGGGTTAGCTAGCAATAAATTAGGACAGATCCAAACTTCTGCCTAAATGTTAGGAATTTTCCTATCTAGGAGCTCTTAGGTGTTAACTTTTCATCTCATATAAATTGTATCAGGGAAGATGGGAACAGAAAGGATGGGGTCCTGGCCAAGGGTCACTCTACCCAACATAAGTCACACACACACCCCTAATGCCTACGTGGAAGCACCCCGCAGAGACAGAGCAAACACAGTCACAATCTGATCGTTTATTCTTTGTTCTCCACCCTAAGCCACACAGGGGAGGCTCGGCAGGAGGACCTGGCCTCTCTGGGTCCCGAAGCATCAGTGACAATGTGCTGTGATTTAGTGACTCAGCCACAATTCAGGAATAGAGAGGCAGTGGTTTTGGGGCTTGGGCCATATAAACGTGAGGTTTAGGGACACAGACACACACACACCCCCCGAGGTTCGGTGACACAGACAGCGGTTGAGTGACACTTCCCCTGCCCCTCCATACCCTTAAGTCAAGGTCGGTGTCACCCCTCTCCCGGCCGGGCCAGGGCACAGAGACAAACTTCGGCGTTCAATGTCACTCTCTCCAATTCCCATGGGGGGGGGGCGGAGCACAGCCAGATTGATCGGTTCGTGTACGGGGCTGCGTCCCTCCTCCCACTCGGCAGGGGTTCAGTGAGAGACTCACGTCGGGGCTCAGCGACTCTCTCGGCCCCTCCTCCCCGTGGCCGGGTTCAGTGACATGCTCTCCACCCCTCCCCCCACCAGGCCGAGGCTCAGAGGAGACACGCGTCGGGGCTCAGTGTCTCTCTGTTACTCCCACCAGGCCGAAGCTCTGTGACACAGACACCCGTGGGGGTTCAGTCAGTCAGTCACTCACACACATACACGCACACGCACGCACACACACGTCGAGGTTCGTTGATACCCTCCCGCCGGGCCCGGGCGCAGGGACACCGGCGTCCATTCCGCCGGTCGCGGCGTACTCGCCAGGCCTCTTCCCACCGCGGGGGCCCCGGGCCCGCCCCGCTGACGCCCTGGTTACCCGGCTCTGCGTCGAGTCCTCGGGCTCTAGCCCTCTTTCCGGGCCGGGCCGGCGGCCGTGGAAGGCGAAGCCGCGGCGGGGCGCACAGGCGAGCCCCCGCCTCCAGCCCACCCGAGCGGCCGCCGCCATCGGCGTCCTCTCAGGCCCGCCTCGACCGCGCCGCTTTACGGCAGGCTCGTAAAATGGCGGCCGCGGAGGAGGAGCCGGAGAAGGAGCCGGAGCCGACTGTGTACTCGCCCAGGGAGGACCAGTGACCGGCGGCGGCGGCGGCGGCGGCGGCGGCGCGGCAGGGCTCCCTAGGGCAGCCGGGGCCGCCCCCGCCCGGGGACGCGGGGCGGAGCGACTCCTCGCCCCTCCCAGGGTGTGTAGGGCTTTCCCAGGGCGGGGAGGCTGGGGGCGGAGGGAGGAGGAGCCGGAGGCGAAGGGGAGGAGCGAGAGGAGGAGGAGGAGGAAGGGAAGGAGAACTAGGCAGGGCAGAGCTGCGCCAGGGGCCGCGGCCGCGCGAATGGCGACGGGCGGGCGGGTGAGGGCGGACGAGCGACGCGGGGCGCTTTCTTTTCAGTGCCGGGCTTGAGGTGGTGAGAGCGAGAGTGAAGGACTCGGCCGTGGAGACTGACCAGTCCGTGAGGCCCCTCCGGAGCGGGGCCGGAGGGTACGTATCCTCTTAGACGCCCCCGCATACCGGGACTCCCTCCGCCGCATCCCCCCGAGGCCGGGCCCCCTTTTCTTCACCCCGGCCCCATCCTCAGCCAGGCCATTCTCTCTTTTCATCCCCCCCAAACCCCCGCAGGCCAGTCCCCCTCTTCACTTCCTCCTTACTCCTAGAGGCCGAGTCCCCATTTTTTTCACTTCCTCATTCCAGGATGCCCCCCTTTACTCTCGTGCCCTCACAGCCCGGGCCCCCCTTCCTATGCCTTCAGAATCTGGCCCCTCTTTTCTTTCCGAGCCCCCTATTTTTACACCTCTACTCAGGCCTGGCTCCCCGCTTCTTCCGGTAGCCCCTCATCTCACCGGGGATTCTTTCCTCTTTCCCCCCAGTTCTTGGGCCTTTTAGCTTTGGGGTGTCTCCTCACTATCGGGGCTGCTTCTCAGTAGCTCCTTCCCCACACAGAACCATTTCTTTCCCCGAGGTTGCCCCCTCCCCCATAGGAACCCCCCTCCCGTGGGAGGGAATGGGGTCATCGATATTTTACTTCACCCTTTAGGAGCCCAGCCTAGAGCCTCAGGAAGGTCCGTGGTCTCCCCTCCCCCATGGCTGACCCCATTGTGAGGTCAGGGCCAAGTCAAGGCCTGAGATTTCCTGGAAGCCAGGCAGCCCTGCCCAGGAGGCCAGGCCGTAGAAGGTGGCCGTAGTGGCCGGTCTCCTGAGCCCTGTGCTCCTTTCAGAACTAGCTGGGGCAGGGTGACACAGGATGCAGCTTTGGGCTTTGACACCTAACCCATAAAGGGGCTCATCCATCTTAACAACTTCTGGAAGCAAACACAGGGGCTTGGCCAGTTCCAACACTGCTCAGCAATTTAACATCATTTCTTTCCTTCTGGGTAACTCGAAGAGACCATTGACGTGGTGACACCAGTGGAACTCAAGGTGGGAGGTGGCACCTGGTCCAGATTCTCATTCACTTCTGTGCCTCTAAAGTTTTTTGGTTGTGTTGTGGCCCTGCAGTCTGTAAAGCCAAAAGGAAGTTTTGAGACTAGCATTTGTGAGTGAAGGTTGTTATCAGTTGGCAGAACAGAGGAATACCACCAAATTGTCATTAAGCTATTCTGGACTCTTGTAATGGAGAGATGATAAACTATGTTAGATTAAGTAGCAGTACTCTGTTCCATGTGGACCTGATTTGGAACCTAGGATCCGGTCCACTTCTTTTGACTTCATATATCACCTGCCTTTCCACTAGTGCTGAATGTCTCAGCCCCCATGTATCCCAGTTAACACTACTTGTGGAATATTTGCCAGATCTTTAAAGGGGAGGTTTTTGAGATATTGGAGTAGAAGGCAGGAAAAATATAGAAAATCTGTAGATCAGGTAATGATCCTGGGGAATGAAAACTTAACAGAAATCTGTTGTAGATGTTTGGTTTTTGTTTGGGGGGATGTAGAGAAAGGGTGAGAATTTCTCTGTATTCTTGCTTAAATAGCCTAGTTCTTATTGTTACATTTCCTTTCTTGGAAAAAGGAGGGCAAGGGTGATTAGGTCAGAGAAGGAGAAAAGGAGTTTTACTTGTCTGTTCTTTAGTGTTAACCATTAAACTTTATAGTATTACATTTAAAAAAGGAAAGACCAATTTGATGGCTTAAAGAACACTTTAGGGCAGCTGGGTGGCGCAGTGGGTAGAGCAGCAGCCCTGAAGTCAGGAGGACCTGAGTTCAAATGCGGCCTCAGACCAAATACTTGACATTTATTAGGTGTGTGACCCTGGGCAAGTCACTTAACCCCAATTGCCTAAAAAAAAAAAACTTTAAAGAGTAGGGGAAAAAAAGAGTAATGATGTTAATTCCAAGCTTTTTGTGACCTTTTTTTTAATAGGTTGTGTCTTGGTTATTTATTACAGTTGAGGATATTTCAGATACCTAAGCCCAGCACCACTGAGCAAACAAGTGACGTAGAATCCAGGTCTTCTTGGTTTCTAGTCCTAGGCTCATGGTATATAATGTAGTATATGATTATTTTTCTAATTTTAGTTATTTAGGTAGTTTGATAGGTCTTCCTCTGTTCTCCTCATGGCTTGAAAATTTTCAAAGGCAAAACTGGCAAGATCTGCCAAGCAGGAATAGATTCATATTATGTGCCGGGTGACAAATACTCTGCCTGTTATCTGAGGAACATCCTTGCTAAGTTCAGGTTGATGAATTTTGGGTCTTCAGCTGCTCTTGAAAACTTTCTACTTAATCATTGAGGGATTGCTATGTGTTGATGATGGAGTAGCCACATCAAAGTTATGGATCCTTGAAATGTACTGTTGTGAAATGTAGCCAAAGACTTAGGAAACTTTTGAAATAGAAAGCTAACATAATACTACAATGTAAAGAATAATGTAGAAGAAATGAAATTATTTTAAGTTGAATTAATGCATGACAACTATTCCTGTTCTGTAAAGACATTATGGTAAAATAACTTATCACTCTTCTCTTTTTTTTTAGCTCTTGTGGAACTGAACCAAATAAAAGTATGGATATGGGAAATCAACATCCTTCTATTAGTAGGCTTCAGGAAATACAAAAGGAAGTCAAGAGTATTGAACAGCAAGTGATTGGCTTCAGTGGTCTCTCAGGTGACAAGAACTATAAGAAGCTGGAGAGGATTCTGACTAAACAACTTTTTGAAATTGACTCTGTAGATACTGAAGGAAAGGGGGATATTCAACAAGCCAGAAAAAGGGCCGCTCAGGACATAGAGCGCCTTCTCAAAGAGCTGGAACAGAATGCAAACCATCCGCACCGTATAGAGATAGAGAATATTTTTAAGGAAGCTCAGTCACTTGTGAAGGAAGAAATTGCTCCACTCTGTAGTGGAGATAACCAAGTAACTGATGAATTTGAAGAAGCCATCCAGGATGTCATACTGAGACTGACACATGTAAAAACTGGAGGGAAAATCTCTTTGCGGAAAGCAAGATACCACACTTTGACCAGAATATGTGCAGTTCAAGAGATTATTGAAGATTCCATGAAGAGGCAACCTTCCTTGCCACTTTCTGAAGATGCACATCCTTCTGTCTCCAAAATAAACTCTGTTATGTGTGAAGTGAACAAAGCCAGAGGGACTCTTATTGCTCTTTTAATGGGAGTAAACAACAGGGAGACTTGCAAGCACTTATCCTGTGTGCTGTCAGGGTTGATTGCTGATCTGGATGCTTTAGATGTTTGTGGACGTACAGAAATAAGAAATTATAGGAAGGAAGTAGTGGAGGATATCAACAAATTATTGAAATATTTGGATTTAGAAGAAGAAGCAGATTCTACTTATGCATTTGACCTGGGACAGAATCAATCCATTTTAAAAATAGAAGGGATCCTCAAGAAAATGAGAGAAGTGAAGAATGAACTTCTTAAAGCACAAAATCCTGCTGATTTATACCTTGGATCAAAGACAGAATTGCAAGGTTTAATTGGACAGTTGGATGAAGTGGACCTTGGGAAGAACCCATGTATCCGAGAAGCAAGAAGAAGAGCTGTAATAGAAGTGCAAACACTTATCACTTTTATTGACTTAAAGGAAGCTCTTGAGAAAAGAAAGCCGGGAGTTGCTGAGGAACACCCATCCCACAAATCCATCTGGAGTGTTCTTGGAAGTTTGTCTGAGATCCAGCGAGAAGTTCTTTCGTTTGACGGAAATAGAACTGATAAGAACTATATCCGGCTGGAGGAGCTCCTCACCAAGCAGCTGTTAGCCCTAGATGCTGTGGATCCTCAAGGAGAGGAGAAGTGCAAAACTGCCAGGAAACAAGCCGTGAAGCTTGCGCAGAATATTCTCAGCTATCTCGACTTGAAATCAGATGAATGGGAATACTAAGATATCAGAGGTCACATATTTGATATTGCTTGTTTTGCACTTTATGTAGATTCCTATATATTTATATAGAGCTCTTTCAGTCTGCTGAGGCATATATGATTTAAACATGCATATTTCAACACCAGTATTTGTTTATGACCCCTGACTTGAGCAGATTATATCTCTACCATTTTTCATGGTGCAAAAACAGATGTATTTACAACCCATTAGCATTTCCATTTGGGTTGTATTTTCTGTATGATGTGTATTTTTATTCTGGAAAAAATGAGTTCTGTCAGATGCAGAATTTGCAGTAATTGATCTATTTTTAAAATGGATAGTGCAGAAGCAAAAAATGCAAATGTTCTGAAATCTAGATAGACTTCTTACACATTACTGGAAATAATTATGAAAATGAGAAATAGATTAATTATTGGCCTGATACGATTAAGATCCAAACACTAGAGCAGCACAAAAAAAGTTTTTAATATGCTAAATAAAAGCAAAAAGGAAAACCAGTTTTTAAAATTTAGAAATGTTGATTTGTTTTTCCATTTTACTATTTGTTGTTGTTATTGTTTAAACTACTTTTTTTCCCCTTTTGGTAAGAATTTTATGTTTAGAAAAAGATCTTTTCCCTGTGTTCTGCATGGAGGACAACAAGGGTGGTCAACAAATTATTTCCCTTTTTTGTTATGAAATTATGAAGACTAATAGCATAAAAGGGGGAAATTGTAGATTGTATTGAAGAGATAAAGTACTCCATACTTTTAAGTTTTTGTCTTTTTTTAAGTTTATGTGTTAAATCTGAGTTGAACTCTAATAATTTGTATGGATTTGAATTGGCATTTTTTGGTTAAGTTTTTGATCTTTGGAGGGGATAGGGAATGAGTAACTTGTTATCAATGGCAAGTTATGCTAAGAGTCAGAAAACATTTATATATTATATATATGCACATATATACATGTATATATACACACACACATATACATATATATAGTGTGTAATGGTTTTCTTCTGACAGGCAAGGCTATGTAATGGACAAGCTTAGTAAATAAACCCAATGTTATTTCACAACAGATAATTGCAAAACAGAGCCACTGAAGCAGATTTCCCTTGACTTGTCATTATAAGAAATTAATTGCCACTGGGAGAGAAATGCCAGCATTTTAAGCACCAAACTAAAAGGAAAAAGATGCTGAAATAGTGATGCTCGGTAGTCATTAGATGCTGGGGGTAATTTTATTCCTATGTGGAAGCTTTTTTTACACTGAAAGAGACATTGAAACAGTTGCAATGAATGAAAGTTTTCATAAAATTCCCTGAGTATTTTTCTAAATTTGATTTTGTTGTCTGCTAGCCCAAACAAAAGAATTTCTGAAAAGCTCTTAAGTGCCTTTTTAGCATCTTAAAAGTAGTTTTACCTTTATAGGTTCCCATGTTCTATATGGGACAGCCAGACCCATATAACATTGTCTCATACTAAATATTAAAGCCTATTAAGCAGTATAAATTGAACCATATGTTAATATTTACTTTCAAATGTTTTTGTCATTTGAATTAGAAAAAAACTGTTGGCGAAGGAAAAATTTTAATAGATAAAGTACCACTCTAAACAAGTGGTTAGCTTTTTAGCTTTTGTTTTTAGTGATTGCGAAAGGGTTGTTATACCTGTCTGTCTTCGTGCTTCATTTATTTTTTTCCATTTTGTCAACATTATATAACAGGACCCTGGAAGCCAGCAGCAGAAGCAATCTATGTATGATAACTTCTTTGCCCAGCATTCCATAGCCCATCATAGTATTACATTTAGTTTGTATTTTTACTTTTTTCCTAAAAGCTTGAATATTGTTACATCATTGACTTTTTTAATGATCACTTTAAACTTTAAAGAGACTATAGTCTCTGAACCATAATATTGCCTGTGAATTGAATGTGATATTTTCAACCTCTGAGAAATAAGATGACATAATGATGCGTTTAACATCACCTCAGTTTTATTTTTTTTTATTTTGCATTGTGTCTTAAAATAAAATGGAGGCATTATTCAAGATTAAAATATATCCACTAACCTTTAGAGTATAACATTTTTTCATGCAATTTTTTTTCCAAAACTGTTTCCCATGACTTATTAAAGAAACAGCTCGTTTAAAACTGCTTAGTATTAGGCACTGTCCGTAGATGATGCGAAATTTGCCTGTTAATTTGAATTGATCACAGTGTTATTTTGTCCCTCAAAACGGCCAGATCAACCTTGAGTGATCTACTAGCTTGGCTATTTTGATGATTGGGGGAAAATTGAATATGATCTGTTCAGTCAAAATGTTCAAGCATGCCTTTTGTTTCTTTATTTTAACCTATTCCTTATTGCCAAGGACCCATTCCTGTTATACTTACTGGTGTAATGAACTCCAGTAACACACAGGTTAGTTTTTCTGTTTTACTTACTGGGAACTGGTTTGGGTTGGAATAGAATTTACAGGTTGGCTCATCATACTGTATTTTAATAATTTTTGCATGAAGAAATATTGCAAACTAAGGACAATATACAAAAAAAATACTGTAAACTGAGGACAATATACAAGAAAATAGTATGTCCTGTTCTTGTGTTATTGAATAGTCATAAAACATTTATGTGTAATATGTAATTTCTGTTCATAACTAGAATGGCCAGAGAGTGTTTTCCTTAGCTTTTTTAGATCTTTTATTCAACTGAGTTAAAACAGACCAGATCATAATGAAGTAGTTATTAGAAATAAATATACCTACCAAATAGAATTTAAATGAAATGCTTTAATTTTCTTAAAGTGATGTGGTACAATATATTTGAAGTAGTAGCAATACAACATACGTTTTGTGTGTTTTGAGAAAAACGTGAAATAATTTGTGGGGGGGGTGGTTTCCATTTGTCATATTGCTTTTCTGCATTTTTGGGCAGTTTTGTGATTGTCTTAAGTTTATTCTGCAAGTTCAGGATTTTCTTAGAAGTCATTTAAGCATTCAAATGACCACATCTTTCTTTTCTCTTTAAAAAAGAAACCCATTGGCAAATACTTGCCATTGATTGTTAAAATGTATAACTACACCTAAATATTTCTGTAGTATTTGTTTCCTACCCCTTCTTGACTGTATAAAAAATGCAATAGTGTGTCAAGATAGTTTAAAATTGTTTTGAATTATACATATTCATATTGCTTAATTGCTAATGAAATAAAATCTCTTAGCCTTTGGAATGGAGGAAGGGCATAAGCTAATCCAAGGTGTGTGTTTTTTGTTTTGATAACTAATTGTGTTTAAAATTTTTTGTTAAACATGATTACCCTCATTAATAATGGTTCCTCAGTTAACAAATGTTTTGGAAACAAAAATCGTTTTTAGTAAAGTTGATTCAAGTGGGGAAGGAGTTGGAAGAAATTTCTGTTCCCAATGGCATCAGTGACCACAAAGGATGTAATGGTGCCATGTCTCAGGTGCAAGCCTGTTGTCCGAACTTCATTCCCTAGAATTGGAGAAGATCTTTCCTCAGCCAAAATCATGTTCTTTGTCTTGGATTGGGGTTGGAGGCAGAGGTCATTCTAAGAGAAAAGTAGGCATATACTTTGGCAAAGGGGGATTCCTAGATTCTACTACTGTTAATCAAGTACCATTGAAATACATCCTCTTCACAAATGGAGGTATGACTATTTTATCTCTGTAATTTTTCCCTTGGGTATATTTGACAGTCTTTGTGTTTAGGGTTCTTGAACTATCCAAGCGTGGTACTTAGCATACTAAGTATATAAAATTGGAGTACTCTATGCATGTTTGCAGATATCTGCATCTATTATACAGCATTTTTATTGCTATCTTTAAGTGATTTCCTGGTGGTGGTTTTTTTTTTCCTCTCTTCTCTGTTTTTCAAGTGACTCAGACCAGGAAAAGCAAGGGCAGCTTGTTCAGCCATGCAAATTTAGAATGGGCCCAGGAACCAAAAGAAATTAGTACAGGTGGAAAATAAATCATATTTTGTGGAGAGTTAAGAATATTAATAAAAATAGAAAAGTTTACTGCCCCAACCCCTATGCTGCTTTGAAGCTATTCAGACTTATGACCAAATTTAGATCAAAGTATGTAGAGCTAGAAGGAACCCTGGAAATCTTTTCCAAACCCTCACTGTGATGTTAGACAATTCAGCAAAGATTTGAGTGCCTAATTTATGCGTAGTTTGGGAGTCCAAAGAATGACACCTCAAGGAATATAGATAGAAAAGTCATATGTATGCAAACAAATAAATAATACAAGGAAAGAGAGTACCTTGGATTAGTTATAGATTGTTTTTTAATCTTTATTCTGGGTGCCACTCTTTAGCCCAGGGTTTTTTATGCTTTTTTGTGGCTTGGACCCTTTTGGCAGTATAGTGTAGCCTGTGGGACCCTTTCTCAGAATAATGTTTATAAATGCAAAAAATAAAACATACAGGATTACCAAGAAAATAAATCCTATTGAAATAGTTGACAAAAAATTGTTTTTTAAGTTTGCAGGCCCTAGGTTAATAACCACTGCTCTAGCCCTTTGTCTTTTTAGCTCTCACTTAAAATAATCTGTCCTTTTAAGTTAGAGAGCCAGTTAGGATTACAATATATTAATAAGAGTCTCTCAGAATACTTATGTGATGTATTTGGTTGCTGGATGGCAGGTATAGGAGAACAAAAGCAATGATATCTAGATACTACTGCTTAGGTTGAAAAGCATTCATTATGCCATATTTTAAAATGTCTTGGAATAAAAGACCACTAAAAATCCTGTAGTGCTTTATCATGGTGTAGAAGTAACCTTAAATGCCTACAGTCCACAAGCTCCATCAGCTCCTGCTAAACTGAAGAGGTTTAAAGTAGTGCAGTGACAGACAACATCTGGCCTCTAAGCAATGACCAGCTTGTTCCAAAGAGGTTCAACCCTGAGTATGGGTCTTTTTTGGCTACAAATCATTAAACTTAAGCATGGAAGAGACTGCAAGTAATCAGACAGATGAAATTGGCAGTCTTAAAGCATGCTAGAAAAAAATAGATTGCTTTATTAAAATTTTAAATTGCACTGTATTGAGATCTAGAATACCAAATTTGAATCAAAAAACCGCAACTGTCACACCTGCAATTCCTTTGCCCATGAGAATTAGTATGTAGTTTTCCTTGCATCGTTTTAGGGGCCTCCAAAAGCCTTTCCTTCCCTCAGGTTTTATGTGGCTTCTAGAGGGGCTGGCCAAGTTGCTCTAATGATGTTGATACATTAAAGACATCAATGTCTCACCTGTTTAGAGTGATTGGCCTTAGCCTTTGACTGCTAGCCTTGATTATGAAATGGAAAGATGCGGCTCAACACATAATGGCTGTGGAGTGATGCATTTTCCACACCTTTGTAAGGTAGTTTTGGTCGATAAGCACAAGGTCATTACTTCATGATTTTGAAACACACAAGCCCGTATATATCTGGATAGTGTACTGCCAAGACAATATGCTGTAACTTGAAGACTTAAGATGATACTTCCCTCATGTTTATACAGCAC